GTCATTCACTGCTGGTGTGAGTGAACTTTATTTTGGCAGTCGTCAAATGTGAACCACGTGCACATGTATTGTAGTGAGGACCTCATGTAGAGCAGTGGTCCCGTAGAAACTGTTGTGAGACTCGATCAGACCTGAGAGGTGGCTGGGATACAGTGCAGAGAGTCTGAGTCCACAGATTAGATTAGATTAGATAGGGTTTAGTATACCGTCTGCTATTTGATATTCTCTCCAGGAGGCTTGATTTTTCTTAATTTAGAAGTTTTTGTCTCGGTTGTTTTAATCTGAAACAGTTCTTTGGCAAGTTTGTTTATGCACAAGCAATTTAGGGTTTTGAGAATTGTGTATTAATATTTATTTTAAATGACACACAGTACATTACACAACTCTGCATAAGGATTTCATCAGTAACTGGCCAAGTGCCAATAGCAGGAATAGTTAGACATTTTGGGAAATACGCTTATCCGCTTTCCTGATGAGAGTGAGGTGAGAGGATCAATGCTACTCTCATATCTGTCTATTAAATATACAGCCAGTTAGCGTAGCATAAAAAATTGGAAACAGGGAACTGCTATCTCTTTATATCCAGTTTGTTAAAAACTGAAGTTGTGTTATTTCCCATAAAATAGTGCAGCATTCTGTAAAATCAAGCGCAGTGTAACGTTTTTTAACTTTGGTTTTCGTATGGATTAAACAACTGAGATATCATGTGATGTTCACTGAGCTTTAGAGGTGCAGGTAGGCGAGGTTTGTAACCTTTGGTCAGAGTCAGGCTAACTGTCTTTATGCTAAAATAAGCTGTGGCTGCTGGCTCCAGCTTTATATTAAATGGGCAGATATAACAGTGGCATCAATCTTAATCTTAAAAGATGCTCAATCACTCTTTATTTTTGCTTTTTAATGAGAGTTTGTGATAAAAATTCTGTGTTTTTGTGTGTGTTGTTAAATGATACACAAAAATGCTAACTTTAATGCACATATGTTGAGCTTTATTTCAAGCAAACCTTTAGCACATTTATCAGTGTAAATAAGACTACCGGGCTTTCATCATCTACACCTTAAAAGATAAACAATGAGTCAAAATATTATCTTAAAAGTACTTAAAAGTAATGTTGTAATCTTCAGCTCAAGTAAAGGACTTGAGAAACTTTTTTCTGATCTGCCAGAGTCTCTGGTTTCACCTTTACGGGAGATGAGTCTGTGGGTGGGACAGTATGACTAAGAAATGACTACGTGTGGGAGACTTGGTAGTGTTTATTTCCACTTACCGGACAATGCCGTCTCAAAATCTGTGATTTAATGCTTTATTATGACAGTGGAGGTAGAGAGGCTGCATCCATTTTGGTTGTGAGTCAGAGATGGGGAGGACGGGTCAGTCTGTGGGCACAGGCCAGACTCTGTGGCTCTTAACCTGGAGGAGTGGCCGGATAGACCTAAATCACTTTTTTAGAATAGCTGGCTTTGGGTACAGATTTAAGGATTTAACAGTTCATCACATAGACAAACTGCTTTCCATCCACAGTACTTTGGCTCAGGCTAGTCAATCCTTTTTAACCACTTGTGCAGTGGAAGAAACATGTAACTGCTTTATTCTTAGTTAAAATGGTGGTTCTTGACACTACCTGTATATTATATATAAATATAATAAGATGTCATATGCGTCTTTATTCTGGAAAAAACAAACAGATACAGTTTATTCAGACTACTGAATTATTCCTGTCCTTTATAAAAGCCAAGAGGAGGACACGCAAGTTAAAAAAGAAATGATGTGCTATGTATTCTTCCTTGTCTGCACTTTCTCATAAAGAGGCACATCATGATTTAGTTTTACTCTGAGCTGTCTGACAAGAGATTTTATACCATGCTTCAATGCCAAGACTGAAATCACATTAAACTGTCTGGCTTGCTCTCAACATATTGTTACGGCTGTGCGAGCTGGATTTGTGTCCCATTGTATCCTCTGAAGTATTATTCCCCTTTTTGTTTAAATTTCCTTTCTCCTTGTTATAGGTTTTTTTTGCATCAATTTAAGGGAAGTATCAACATTTCACTGGAGGAGTTCAGCAGCCAAAAGAGTCTCTCTGTGCTCAGGTCTCGGATATTTTAACAGCTACATTATTTTGTGTGGGGTTTAAACCTGTGACCCTTCAGTTTCAGGACACCTTCTTAAACTCTGGACCACCCTGCCACCCTACCTCCTGATTTTATCTAGCAGATACTGAAGCTCCACTATCTTTTTCTATTTCAGGGATACTCTAATCTTTCTGTTTGCTCTCTACAGATAATACAGTATCTGCCTGTGCTGACAGCTGTGACAGACATGATAATTACAATGATAATTTCTCCATTGCCAAAAAACTTCCCAGTTTGTTATATTAAGTTGCAAAAAAATCTTACTTATATGCACAATTAAAATATCCTGCCTGTGGGGTGAACTAATTCCAAATTTTTTCCAATGAGGCTTCATCTGTTCGAGTATTAAGCGAGCCAGAAAAAAGCAGTTCTCTTCACTAATATGATGAAAATGATCCAAACAAAGTCTCGAAACCAGTTAATTTGCACTGGACACATGTGATATTAGCTCACCAGTTGGCCGATTTTTCACTTTTGGAATTTTGGGCTTTTTGATTAAATTGCTGAGATTTAGAAATTAATGTTCATGACTGTCACAACTGTCAGCTCTGGCAGATACTCTCTGGTATTGGTGAAGTAAAAAACCACAAACGACTGTAAAAAGATTATTTTCTGACCTGCGGCTCATTTTCTTGACCACATTTTGGATTTGTAGTTCGTGCTATAACAAGTTTAAACTCCTGTGTTGTTTCCAGGTTGTCAGAGAGAGAGATATTAGCCAGAATATGACAAAGTCTATAAAATTCAAGTATGCTGCCACTGTGGCTGTATGAGTCTTCATCATTAGCCACACTAGCGGCGTGACTCTAGGGATGGTTGGTTGCTTAACCACTTTGGTCCAGACTGAAATATCTCAACATCTATCAGATGGAATGGTACATTATTTTGTTCAGACAGTAATAGTTCTCAAAGGATGAATTATAATGACTTTGGTGATTGCCTGAGTTTTCATGTAACGCCACCATGACGATTGCATATAGTGAAATATTGCTCGCATTGTCAATGTGAGCATGTCAGCACGCTGATGTTAGCGTTCTGAGTTCTAAGTACTAACTAACAGAGCTAGCATGGCTGTAGACTCTTTGTCTTGTTATTTTGTGGCTTTTCTTTAAAACTTTAATTAGTTTTTATAGTGTGCAACATACAAAGTTTTATTATGTATTAGCATACTCTAAAACATACAGTCATTTTCAAAAGTGATGTAGAAGGACTTTCAAAAAGAGGATATTATAGTTCATTATTAATACCATTATAAGTGTCAACTGATCGATCAAAGTCAAATTGTCCAGGACAATAGTGTCACTAGAAGATTTTTAAAGTATAATTTTATTGGCAGTCTTTAAAGTGTGGAATGGGTGGAGAAGCAAAGAATTCAGATGGTTTCTAGAGCAGCCTAATTTATAATAATAATAATAATGATAATGATAATGATGCCAACACAAAGGCACAGATGCACGTACAGTACTGCATTAACAGGAAAAAAACGATTGCTATGCAGTTAATCTATTTAGAGCAACTCCTGGTGATTCATTTGTATATGAGATCCAGTTGTACACCAGCACATTCATGACATCAGCGGTTTGGCTTCGTTACCATCTACACTTTGCTCAGGTCTGTCTGATTGCTCTTTATATGTTCGAAGGAAAGCTGTTTCCAAGCAACATTTGTGATGTTGTTCAAAATACAGCTTTTTTGAGTCGGGCATGGGGATGAGGAGGGAGCGGGAGAATCACAAAGAGAGAAAGTCTGCTTGTGTACATGCAAGCTCCACACATGCATTTGTACTGTGAATCGTTTTTGAAAACTGCCTCAGATCGTCTGATTTGGCAAGTAAAGGATGGAAACTGTGCCTTTTCTTTCTGGCTGCGTCTCATTTTCCACCACCTTCTTGCCTCTGTACCTGCCCTTATTGAGATCTCCTGTGTTCAGAGCTCCAACAAGCATTCTGGTAATTGCTTGAGAGGCTTTGGGTGAAAAAATGCATTTGAGAACATTTTCACATGCTGTTTCCTTCTTGAGAATTGCTTGATTTTTGTCTTTTACGAAACAGGTGTTTGAGCAACTGCAAAGTTTAATCATCACTTGCAAGATAAGACAAATCAAGGTTCTTTTTAAATAGTTGAAACATTTTTAACAAGAGTTGGCTCAGGTGCATTGCTGGGCCACTTTTCACAGCAGAGGATTCTGCTGCTGCTCAATGCACACCTACTCGCTCTCCTCACTAACCCACAACTCCATCTTTTTGGCAAGGTTTGTGCTCCCCTGAAATCCTTTAGACCTTAAATATATTTGAGGCAGCTGCGAAGCCAAGAACCATTATTGCTGTCAGGGAGAAGGCCGTCTTCCAACAGTAGAGTAGAATCGACTCTCTAATAGATCATGAGTAAAGATCAGAGGAGAGGGGGAGAAGGAATCCCATTGCTCTGAATGTGGTATGGTTCCTTTGACACTTAATCAAGGCTCGACCGGTCTTCAGCCAAAGATCAATTAGATAAATTAGCCTCTAGGTTGAGCTTCAGTGCAGAGCTGCTCACACCCTCGTTACAGTAGCCTAAACAAAGAAAGGCTGCGGCCGACAAGTGTTTGAGGAGCAAAGAAATGTTTTGAGAAAAATGTGACCCATGAGTTTAATTTGTGCGTTAGTTTGGCATAATCTCAGATTCAGCTGAATGCAGCCTTTGTTTAAACAGTGAAACTAGAAAGAAAGAAAAAGAGCCAAAAAGAAAGAAAACAAGGAATAAGAAAAAAGAGCTACAAGTTCAGTCATCTTAAGATGTATCTGTCTGTGTTATGTGAAACCTGAGCTGAGTTACAGTCCTCATGTATTGCACCATTGTTATGCCAACATGTTGCTGTCTCTCTCATTGCAGTGGGTGATCGGAGACAGAGACAGAGACAGAGACTGTGGGGTCATCTGCTCACGAACGCAGGGAAAGCCAGTGTGCGGCTCAGATGGGCGGAGCTATGAGACTGGCTGTGAACTGCAGAGGGCACGCTGCAAAGATAAAACACTGACACTGGCACACCGCGGCCGGTGTCGAGGTGAGGACTGAATTCTGGTCACAGTCTATGTACAGTATGCTACAAAACTAGACTTTTTGCAATCTCAGGATACATTCGAGGAAAATTTAGGTTTTCATGACATGCATGTTTGCACATTGATCTTATTTCCATACGGTTCTTGTTAGCAGTTGGCATTGGAAGTCTTATACATCTGAGTTTCCGTGAATGCACCAACAAGGGTTTTCACAGTCTGTGCTTGAAACTTATCATGCAAAATACAATCATATAAAAACATATTGCCATCAAAGCAGTACAGCACGCTGATTTGCAATATTGTTCAAAAAGGTCTATTACATCCAGAGATATCAAAGGGATAGCTACATGGAATGATATGCCAAAGTCAGTTGAAAAATGTATATTGTCATATTTGCCATATTGCCTGCCCATGCTTAAAGTGGCTGCTGCAGAAAATCAGCCAAATAACATATGGTATACAAAATGATTGCCAGTTTGCCTGAAACACTTCAAGTGAAGTTCTGTCCTATTCACGGTTTTGATGCTTGATACAGTAGAAAGTATGGAAGTATACAAACATGGAATTAATGGCCTAAAGTATTATCATCTCTAGTATGCCTTAACCATGACATGACTCCACCTTTCAGACTACACAGAGCTTCATGTGACTCAGAATCAGAATCAGAACTAGAATCAGAAATACTTTAATAATCCCAGGACGAAATAACTTTCGTTACAAACTCCAGATATACATACAACATATAATCTCTTTTGTCTTCCAGGTAAAAGCTGGGGGAAAATTGATCAGTTGCCAGTTGCTCCAGCACCAACTTCCACATCTGAAGGGAGAGACCTGGAGCTCAAAGGTAAGGATCAGGAAACCTCTGAACTAAGGTTGGGTGATATGTTACAATTTTCCAAGAATAAGTTCCAAAAAATAAACAAAATTAAAGCTGCAAGCAGCGTTGGGCGGGACCTCGCACTCCATGCAACTCGGGGCGTGCTGCGGCTGC